AGACGAGCTGGGCAGCCGAGTGATGATGCCTGGTGAGGCCCAGCATAATTTAGACACTTGACTGGGGTAACGCATAGCTCGTTATGAGATTCTACAGCGCAGATGCCGAAGCGAGCGTGCCTGGTGCATGCATTAACGTTATGGTAGCCGTAGCGTCTAGGACATACCTGGAGCTGAGGTCTGTTGTCAAGAGGCTTTAGCCTTGTGGCTCTAGCAAATAGACGGAGGTGTGTTGGAAGCTTCGAGGTGGCGGAGGCCGAAATTACGAGATGGAGAGTCCCATCCTCTTCGGGAGATGCTAATGATCAACGGGTCCAGTTCATGGAGTAAATTTTTGTGGTATCAACGTTTGCAGACTTTAATTCTTGCCGAATTTCTTCATCTGAAAGTGGCTCGCGAACCCCGGATGCGTTGTATCCATATTTTGGAACTGGTCCGAGAAGATAGTTCGGTCTTTTTTCCTGTCGCTCTATCTGAGTATTTCCGGTAATTAGCTGTAGGGCCTGAGCGGCCTGTAGCAGCTCTGGAGCTTGACTTGCCGAAGGGGCTACTAAGGCAATACCAGGTGGAACATTCCTGATATCTCTGATGAGCCCTGGTCGATCTAATAACCCTCGGAGTCTAGACCAGACCAGAAGTGTATCTTGGAGACGGAGAGGATTATCAGTTGGGATGCGAACAATAACCCTAGTGTCGATCTTCAGTGTTTTCGCTCTTTTCGTGCCATTCTTTGGGTGGGTTTTCGGTGCTAAACCAGTATCTGGGGCCGGCGCTGGTGGGCCGGATTTTGTTACATTGGCGTACGTTAGCTTTGTTGCGGTTTTAGTTGGTGCTTGGCGGGCTGGTATAGTCATCTGGTGTGTGTGAGTCTATGGTTGTTGATTCATGGGTCCATTTTCAAAGACGGGAAGACCCGCTATAACCCGAGCGGCGCTACGCGTAACAATAGCTCTGAGGTCTGCTGCGATTGTAGGCGGTAGACTACGAAGATATTCGGGTCCAGCATTTTGCCAGGCTAGAAGCGCCGCTGCGAATTCATTCGTCACTGCTGCTGATGGGGAGGGCACAGCACGAACGTATGAGCTTACATTCTCCCTATTGTGGATGGGAGTTCTGTACTCGTGAGAAGAGGATGCGTGCATCGAGTAAGCAATCCCTATTCTTGCTCGGTTTATCTTTGGATTCTTTGAGGGGGCACCAATTCTATCTTTTGAGGCCTGGGTTTGAGAAGCTGAGTTGTGGTCCTGGTCGGAGTTCTCGCTTTCGTCGTCAGAGTACGCGGGCATATACTCATCCGCTGAGTCAGTAATCATCTCATCTACTTGATGAATCAGTACGTCTTCCTAGAGAGTCGCTTTATTCGATTCTTCACGGATAGTCGGGAGGAGGGAGCGTGTTTTTATGCGTTTGGACACGCGAGTCGCTGCACATGTGGGTGACGGCCGCAGCGATGAGCCGGGTTTTTTCCGCCTCCCGGGCGACATTTATGCTGTAGGTTTTTATGAGGATACGGGTGTAGATGTGAAGCGTGAAGAATGGTCATTTATGAAGCATCAAAGTTTGTATTTTGTAATTGAGCGTGCTCGGTTAAGTGACTACCGTTGCACTCCTACTGGAGCTTTAGCACGAGTGGGATCGGGCCGGATCAGGTTAACTACAGTGAAGTACAGACATACCTCGTCCAATCTAAATGACTGGATCACCTCCGACTTCACCTATGTGTTGAATAATACCAAGTCTGACCGTCCAGAAACCCGCTATATAAAGGCCGTAGCGTAAATTCCTCCTCAACCTCGGCCACCACGCGCCCGAGCCCTTGACACTTTCGCGATCTATAACTTTTCCCTTCCATTCAGTCCCAGCTTTGGCTTATCTCATCCAGGGGTCGTTTTCTTCATTGCAGACCTCATCCAGTCACCCACTAAGGACCCCTCAGTTTGTATTCCCTTTTATTCCTTCACATAGCCTTTAAATTTTTGGTTTTTGTTGGTACAACGGGGCTCACTTGGTTCAATGCCTCAAAAGTGCTATAAACAAGTGGTATCATTCTATCTCTTCTCTCCTCTTCTCTTTCCTCAAGCACCAATATTTAAATTACAAATCGGAGCTTGGCGCCCGAGCCAAGTCACATGATATATAGACTAATCCTTATATTTATAGTTCTTTTTACCTGTTTTGGCGCCTTGAGGCTCATGCAGGTTTTTATCGGAAGATATGTACTTTTAGTAGGGTGACTCAATTTGACATTTAGAACACTCACACTCAGATTTCATTTGCAGATACCACTCGAGGTTAACCCTTGCGGCGTATAACCTCTTCCGTGCATACCCACCACAGGGAAAAGCGTGAATAGAATAGAATGAAGTTTAAGTCCCTACTGAGTCTATGACTATGAAGGACTGGAAAAGCGTTAAAAACCTGTGGCTATCCGATTATGCTTTCATCATCCCATAAGTATAGTATCACCGCGAGAGAAAATGGTATGTGGGTTTTACTGGATTCGAACCAGCTTTCTCCTGTCTCGAATGGGGTAGGTGTTCAAACTACCCGGTATCTACTTGGGAGGACGGCCCGGATGGTATACCACTGCACCATACAACCCGACTAATCCTTATACAAGTACGTATCCAAGTCAAGTATTTTATCCCTATGCCATTCACCTATAAACCGACAGTTTTTATTCATGAAAATTCCTGGCTATATAAAGCTAGCTCCAGTGGTAGTTGTGGGTCCTTCGGGATTACGCACCCATGTCAAGCCTCCTGAGTGTAAGGCTTCAGCCTGATACGTTGAATCACTTAAATCAAATCAAATTACTAAAGCAAGATCTAGTGATGACTCCTATCATGACAACATCAGGAAAGAGTCAAACTAGCGCATTATCTAAAATATAGTTTAACCCTTAAATACTTGAGTATTTGTTGTAATTACGAGGTTATATGGATGAGGATAGTGGTAGGACAGTATATATATAAAGAAGAATGTGGAATGAATATTCTGGTGGTGGGCAAATGTATTTAGATTATCTGAGGGTAAAATGGATATCTAAAGATGAACGCATAATCTACTTAAGAAGTAAATGGATCTGATAATATACATGTACGATTTGTTCTACAGCCGTGCCCACTGACTGTCTGATGTACTCATGTAATGTGTATCGACATTGTTTGATCCTTAAGCTCCTGATAATGAGCACGACTCACATTTGAGTCATGCATTAATATGAGCTTGTATAACTAAAGTCATGTTGTTTCATCAATGAGTCTTGTCTATGAAGCCCTTGCTTCCCTGCGCAGACTAGTATCACAACAGTATTCCCATATAACCCCTGGAGAAAATTTCCTTGAACATTCCCATGTATCAAAAATATCTTCGCCGTGAAATCTCCCTCCATCACTTGCGAAACGATTTAAACTGTAGGTGGTACTAAAATGCCATATTGGTCTTGGTAGAAAGTATGTACTGCAAAGCGGCCTAGCCTCGCTTCTTTGTTCTATTTCAGGTAGTGGTAAGTCTCACTGACTCTTTGAAAAAAGAAAACCTCCTAGTTGATGTTTTGCTCAATCTAGGTCCTACGGATTTCATGGCGAGTGCTTGGAGTCTACAAGATTAACTGGAGGCTAGTGTTTAATCTTTTCTAATCCACTCGAGGCTATCGGACTTATCATCTTCCAACACATAGCTGGGTTTCGGCATATTTCTGGTCAGCTAGGCAGTAAGAGACAAATATTATACTTTTGTAGCGGTCAACCTTATCTGATACGTCCTCAATCGTGCTTGATATTCACTGGGAGTCCGGTGAAAGTCCTGTATCTTCCACTGTAATACGCAAACAAGAAACAAGCAGTCACTTGGTGGATAGTTGTATAAGAAAGGATTGATTAGTAGGGATATCCGTTCACTAGTTGTGGTACAATACCGCGCGTACTTAAGTACAAATTTTCAAACATGGCTGTATGTATAATATCGTCTCGTTTTAGTAGATCATCCCGCTTTCAATACATATCAGGTACAACAAAAATTCATGATTTCTTATAGAGCTATTGTGACTAGAGTACACAAGATGTGAATAGCTAGCTGACATGTGGTCAAAAAGCCCTGTGCTTGCAGACAATCAAATTCTCTCCTCATTTTCGGCTCTCCCCTCTCTTCATCACCACGTTAAGCTCTGCCCCATCCTTCAGGAAAGAGATGGTGCATCTAGTCAATCTATTCACTTACCAATTGAGATATTTTCTAGCGTTGTCTTTTCTCAGTCTAGCCTGCTAGAATCAAGCTGTCTTTACTGACTTGCAGATGAGATTGGACGTGTAGAAGATGAAAGTAAAATATTTTTGTGATAGAAAAAAGGAAATTCGAAGATCCCAAAGTAAAAGAGTGTACGTCTCACTGAAGAGCAGCACTTCTCTTAGCGTCATGCATTTGCTCACTTTTCAAGAGCGAAATAGCTCTCGTAATTTTCCTGTACTTGTGCGGCCACCAAAACAATACTTTCGGCTCGGCATAAATTTTTTATTCGCTCCCACATTTGCCTCTTACGCCCTTCTCCTTTTGTTAAGGCCGAGGGAACATAGGCGGGCGACATTAACTTGCTATGCTGTTATAGGCCTTAGATAATAGCATTCAGTGATGGACTGCTAGCGTATTTCGTTCATATTTGCTTTTGTTCTCGAGTAAACTGTTGCAGTCACTTATTGCGAAATTCCCGTATGTAGGGAGATCGAGTTGACTAGCCATTTGTTGAGCAGTGATCCGAGCGGATTAGAAATTTGGTGGAGAGCGAGAGAATGTAGTCGATATTCGCTTCCAAAAAAAGCCGGAGAGATGTTCAGTCAAGACGTGTTATCAGGTCCTAATCTCCCCACATAACGTGGGTTTATAATCAGCACGCGTTCTTTCCAGCGAAGTGATTTTGGCAGCATAAAAAGGCAGCAGGAAAATCAATTTATAAGGGAGAGAAGCTTCGACGCCAAGCTTCCTTTTTGGGAGGTAAGCAACTACTACTTTTTGCCGCCCGATTTACTTTCCCCTGATCGAGCTATGTGAGATTCGAGGATAGTCTTTCGACTTAGTCGCGGAAGGACCTTTCTAAGACGCTGGTCCGCAATTAAAGGGGTAGACTGAATCCACTTGCTATGACAGAGTAGGGCATTCTCATCTGTAGCCGTGAGAGGAACTTGACTTGCGTGCAGAGAAAGATTTTTTTCAGAGCCATACCAGTCGACATCACTCAGTTGTAATTTCCGAGAGCGTTGGCCGCTACGGTTGTTACTTGACTTATCAAGTCTAGAGAAACTTATCACGGGATTTTTCTCGATTCCTGCTAAATGTGTGTTAACAAGAGACCTTAGTGAATGTGATGATGAGCTGGAATCACCATCTTGATCTTCGCCATCACGGAGATCATAGTTCAAGACAAGATCTTTGATTCGCTTCTGTTCCTCGCGTTCAACCTGCTTGCGAGTTTTCATAGCGATGGCTAGGGTTGAGTCTGATGGTAACGCAACAGCTCTAGTCTATAAAAATTAGCTATTATCCGAGATTTCAAAAGTTGTGATCACAAACTTGTTGACGATTGCCACGTTTTGTTAACAGCGAAAATATCATAGTACCAGCCGGTGTTGCATGGTCATTATTTGACTCGTCACCGCATGGGTCACTGTTGGCAGTAGTGTCTTTTCGTTTCATTGGTAGGGGAACATCAAATGCTGATTTTCGCTCGTGTTTTCGGGAATCTAAACTTTCAGCTATCATTCTTGCATACTCACGTTCAAAGTCTGCTTCATCTTCAGGGTCTAAAATTTCTTCTTGCCGTGTAACAACAATAGCTTCCTCTTCAGAATCAGTGCTCACCGAGCTAGTGTGGTTATTACCATGTGAATCGACCTAGTACGCGCGCACAAATTATAAGTGATTGTGTGAGATGGATTGTATAAAACTTACGTCAATATCATCTTCAGTTTCCATATCCTCATCGCCTTCATTCTCAGGTAGCTCAGCCTCGATGTCGTTGTCACCTATATCAGCTTCAGAGGCACCATCGCTATCTAGCTCTTCGGGTTTCTCGATTCCTGTCATTTTTTGATCTTGTACCATAGCAAGTTGGAACGCCTTGCTTGCTTCGTCGAGATTCGATGCAAGTTTCCAGTGCGGTCTTGTCAATGCAAATACGTCCTGAATAAGAAACTCGATGTCCATCGGAAGCGGGTCTTTTGTGTAGATATAATACTGGTTATGTTAATCACGTGATATAATATTAATAATTGCTACCATTACCTGTAGAAATGAGAGAAAATAATCAAGTTTCTTCCCTGCTATACCTCGGTTAAAAAAAATTCCGCACGTTTCAAGGATGGTTGCAACGAGTCGAATGCGAAAAAAATCATCCGGCATATCAAATGGGTTTATTCGGCCGGGCAAAGGTGGTCCACCTATCAATTTATGTTAAAGATAGACTTGTTATGAGGAAATTTGGTGCATGATTACCATATCCAAATGTCATAATGCGGTAAAGTGTGTCAAATATTACGGGATTATCTACCATACGGTAGTTGTAGAGCTCGCCTAGATATTTTACTTCCGCAAGTCGTCGCTGATTAAATCTGAAATCATTTTGTTCTAAGCCTAGAACAATGTATTCAAGGACATTATCTATGACCGTGGTGACAAATTCTTGATGGTAACGATACAAGGTACTCGTCAATATGGCAAGAAGATGAATACTGCCATACTTAACTTTGCCGGGCTTGGAGAATATTTTTTCCAGGATTGCGACGACCTAAAAAAGTTAGTTACTTGAAAAGTTGTTACGATCTTACCTATTACCTCGCTTTCCTCCCAGTGAAGCCTTCTAATTTGTTTTAAGATTTTGCTGTAATTACGATTGTTCATATCTAAATAAATTAATTTACGTATAAACAAGTCGATAGGTGTCCGCTCCTTCTGCTCAATAGCAGATCTAGTAGGAGGATCCACATAATACACGGCGTTTTCTATTAGCATTCTCTCTTGCTGCCCAATGTGCTGCACAGATTTTTTTCGCTTCAATGTTTCTAGAAATAAAGTCATTCGAGGTGATGTTTCAGGATTTCGGAGTAAATATCGTCCGCAGTTTTCAAGAAGACTACAAATAATTTCAATATTCATTCTTGAAAAATCATCAAGCCCAACCTTGAGGCAGTAGAAGATAACATGGTCGGGGACAACCCTAAACTTGGTCAATTCAGCAAGGTATCGAATGTTCCCAAGCCTAGCCTGACCGAGGAACTCTTTTTCTTTTCTTCGCTGTAGGCTACGAAATTCATGGTCAAGATAGTCGACTAATCCTCTCGTCACATCGGGCATATACTTGCCGAGAGTAGCGACTAGACGAGAGTAGGAAGGAAGTAGGTCACTTCGACCCTTAGGTATCTCTTGGACAGCCTTAATCAGTCGATTACGTGATGCTTTTGAATTCAGGAAGCAGAAATCGACGGCAGCTTGGTCAATTAGCTCTTTGTTGGTTAGATCGGGAAGACGAGCCAGTAGAATATCAACTTGGACGCCAATAGTTTTGTTAACAATGGAGGTAGATGGAGTCTCTTCTTCTTTTTGAGTGGGAGAGGGCATGTCCGTATTCGTGTCTAGAGTATCAAATTTTCGTCCAACCTGTTCATCGGCGTCTGATTTTTTTTTCTTTACTTCTTCCAGAAGCATACCCGGGACTTTGCCTTTCAAATCGACAAGATTCTCATAGAATCTTCTCTCATCTTCATCTTCCCAAATACCAGCGCCATCGCTATCTCCTCGCAAGTATTCTCCGGTCTTAACGAGACCTATGCCTCCACTAGCAGCATTGAGCCCGTCTTCTGAATCCTTTAAGTCAGGCATTTCCACGCCCAAGGCATCCGCAAGGAATTGTGCGTTTAGTATTAACCGTTCATGAGATTTAACAACCTTTTCATAACTGGCCTGTCGATCTTCAAAAACTTGTCCTGACTTGACATATGCTTCAGCATCTTTTCGTGCCTGTTTGCTGATGGCTTTTTGGTCGCGAATCAAGTGGGTTTTGACATCATCGAAATAACGTCTTAGGACTTTGCGGAACTTCTCACGAAGCTCAGGTGATGCTAGTGGTGGATCATACGAAAAATCGCCAATATGCAACGTTGGAGATTCAGCAGATTCGTCATCTGCTTCGACCTCTGCTATCAGTCTAGGTGTACTATCTTCATCTATACTTTTCCGGAAATCGGATCCGAATTCCTTAATTCCTAAGATATCCCATCCGAAAGCCTTGACGAATACGACTAGTAGCGGTAGATTTGTGTGCTCTCGATCATGACCAAGTAGGTCCTTCAAAACTTCTAGAGGAAATGGTTCTGCACAGTTTCCTTTACTTGCTGAAGCTGCCTTGGGTTTGCCCTCTGATAGTTTGCCGAGTCCAGAAGATAATGATTCCTTGCCTCTTGATGCTTCATCAGGACGGCTGACATCATCAAGAGTCTTCAGCACCCCCACGAGCCATAATTCAGTGACGACCCTTAGCAAAGATCTCTGGCGCGTCATTCTCTCCTTCTCTTCCTTTTCTCGTGCTTCCGCGGGTATTCCTTTTAGTTGAGACTTTTCCGGTGAAGCCAAGCCCCTTCCAACAAGCCATCCGAGATATTCTGTGAATTCAGTTGGTCCAAATCGCTGATGTAATGCACTAACTATTTCAATTCCTGCACCAATATCGCCTGGTGACTTCAATTTGCAAAGTCCTTCATAGCATGCTGAAATGATTTCAGAGAGATACTTGTGGAGGATAAGGGTCCGAATCTCTTGTAGAAAAGTGCCCAACGTGGCTTGAGAAACTGTAGTACGTAGCCTTTTAATGAAAGCGGTATTTTTTTTTAAGGATGAGTCGAGAGACGTGCTTATTTCGAATACACCTGCATGGATTGGTTAAAAAAACTTAACTGTTCTCTAAAATTTTGAGGACTAGCCTTTCTCTCCATTCCATGCGCGGCTATTTATTTCGCGCAATTCGCCTTGATTCCGAAAACGTCAGTTGGGTTCTTGTATTTTATCGTGAGCTTCCGAACTTACGCTTTCTCTTGCGGTCCATCAAGGCCTCTCTATATTTGCAAACCTTGTGTTTCAATAAGTTTCTTGAATTGGTTTAGATTGCGGTGCCACATTCGTAGTTCTTAGGCAAATTTGAAGAAATTGAATTGTAGCTCTGGTAGAGTCTTAGAATGCATTTGAAGTACCTTGAGCGGGATTGATGATGCTCATTAACAGACTCTACGGCACTTTGAGTCAGGGTAATGTGTCGGTCGGATCCTTTGTATCTGTACGTAATATTTCCGACCCAAGCCTAAACAGATTACAATATTCTACAGTATCTGGCAAGATTCGCGTCGTTGTAATCGAAGACTAGATTTGACGCAGCCTTGTTGAACTAGTTTCCTGCTGACATAATTTCAAGCCAATAGTTCGCAATACAAATCTTACAAGGGTTAGATATGTTACGGCAAACAGAGGTTACGTTAAACCTGAGTGAGTAAGGGAGTGTTTATTGTACTAATAAGTCTATAACTATTTAAGGACACGTAGGTCCTTTTTGCCTACAGGCTGGGAGTATCGTTGCCTCGGGTAGTGTACTTCCTCCTATGCCTCCTTCACGACTTCTTTCCGGCAGTAATACCCCCACAGGTCTTCATTCGAGTACACACTAAAAGGAGCTGTTATCCCGTCATTATCTTCCCTCTCCAGCCAACGAAACGATGGCCATTTGCGGGTGTGTAGCTGCAGGGACAAGTCTCAAATACTACTGGGTGCGGGGCTCTCTTATGACGAAAAGGCCGGCCAGCCGGGCCCAGGAAACCTGTGTATACCTAAGAGCATCTCTCAACCTTCCTAGACATCTCTGTCCTCCTTCCCCGATTCATGCTGCAGGACAAACCGAAGGTCATGAAAGGATATCAGAAAGTCTTGGTCGAGAGCGACTGCAGTGAAGGAGCCTAACCTAGCATCCAAAAGTCGTTACGGACGTGGGGTTGTCGAGTAACTCATGTATGTCAGATGCCCTCCTGGCTAGTAGATTCGAAGTTAAGATTAGTAGGGACGATATTGTAGACGAGTCGAAATCTGCTTTTCTTGAGGGCGGAAGAGTCTTTTACTTTGCTTTCGTGGGCTTTTTGTTTGCCTGCCGGTGTGTAGCACACGATATGATATAACGAGGGCTTCTCTGACTACCGTTGTAGCGTTTGGTACTGCATTGTCTTTCTCCATTCCCAGCATCATTATCATCGTCTTGGTCGTCTTATGAGTTATCGGAAACGTATCTTTGACGGAGGGGGAGATAACTCAGCTCAAGGTTGATGACGTGTTACTCAATCTCGGCTCTGCAGACTCTACAGTGAGAGCTGGAGGTTCGTGGAGGACACCACTGACAGGTGTTAAGAATAGTCCCCCTCGTTAAGTCTGACAGATCTATTTATTATAATATAAATTTTAATCAATCTGTAATCCCAAATTGTAATCATTACATCACACACTGCATCCGAAACACTTTCATATATTTTTACTAATATTCATCTCTTGAGGACCTTCATTCCAAATGGAAAACTTATTTTATGCAGTCATCGAGAAAAAAGCTTTGATCTAAGCATCACAAACATCTAGGTCACATTATAATTTTATCCCGGATCCCAAAATTGACGGATGGCATTAAATATTGACTCGAGCTAGTAAATTGATTTTATTCCATTCGTAAGGCAAAGACTGTTTACATTTCGTTGATGTTCACTACTAGCCTTTGTATGAAATTTACTTCAAGATTTAGGCTTATTCAGATGTTGGAGTATCAAAGAAATTAGTCCACAAGCCAATGGCTCAGGACTGTACCAAATCATTGTTTACCCGCCACGACATTGATTCCGATAAATGCCCTATCTGGTCTACAAATATGAACCAGTAAATAATAATTCCAATAATACTTCCAATGAATACTCCTCAATAGGCCTCAACACATACGCTCACATCGTTTTGAATTATTGCAATAAAACTATCCAAGAATCGTATTCTAAGATGGATATGAGAGAGGTTAGGACAGAAAGCTAAGAAAACTGCTAGTACGGATCCAGTATTGAGCGTGGTGAGATTTGTTTAGTAATGAAAAGGAGCTTTCACTTTGAAGAGCTTGGTGTGCATTATGACTTTGTACTCGAGAGTGCAGACGATACTATCAATACGGTCAAGGCTAGCTGGTGCAGCAACATATCAACTGGGCTAGTTTCCCAAGTATGATGTGGATAACTTGGTGTAAGATTCCACTAGAGGGATGAGGTGGCCGACTCCAACCCAACAAGGCTCGAGCAGATATCTCACGGAGATCGTGTGCATGGATGTCGAAGGCATGCTTTGACAACCTAAGGATTGAAACTTCCCATTGACGGGTACACTCTGGAGAGGGTTGACAGCTCTGTGAGAGCAAAATACCTCGAAGTGGTATTTTCAAACGAAACCAAGAGGAAGAGAGTTTCTAAATCCAGGGAGTTATATTGAATGAGTGCAAAGTAATGTTTGTATAATATAGCTTGCTAGCTGAATACACATTATTATTAAATTGGGAGGCCTTTCATAGCTGTATGACTGTAGATAAGACAAGGGAATTAGCACAGTGGAAGAAGGTCAGACAGAATGAGAAGCCATGGTATTGTATTTACGAGAGCGAGATGGACTAAAACTATGAAGTACAAACATTCTCCACGCGACTGATCTGCATGAGTAGCGTTGTTGACGCGACACTTAAGTTTGACCCGGACTATATCCATTAGCCGCCGGCAAAGACGAATTCTTCACCTTCCAGTGGTGCCGGTGTAATCGCTCAGTATGCTCTGCATATCTGGGATAGCCAAGAAGAATCGCATCCGAATCGAAGTCGAAAGCAAACACATGTATATCTCCATTTGACGACTTCTCAACCATGCTGCACTCATCATTATCTTCTGAGTCCTCAACCCCGATCTAAGCACATATCAACTCGCCTCGCCGACCGATAGAGGCGTCACCCTAACTGCAAACAGGAGCTTGCCTCATTCATTACCGGCCATCACTCTCTACATATTTACGACGCTATTTATACCCGCAAGGAGGAAATCAAGTCGAAAAATACAAAGTTGGGGTCTTGGTTTATGGGGGACTGCTGCTCTAATGGGGTTATACATCTTGAGGAAGAACAGGCAGCTGAGATGTGGAGCGAGAGGAGAAAGAAGACTCTGAAGACTGTGTTGGGACTGACATTTTCGAGGAATTTCCAACTTTGGATTTTTTGTGGGCGCCAAGACCAAGATTTCGGCTAATTAGCCAGGAGGGCTTCTTTTGTCGATGAGTCAACGGCACTCCCCAGCGCCCTGGACGGTACAAAAGAAGTTAGGCTAAGCTACTATACAGCAATCACGCTCTGTCAAGACTTTTCTGACATTTCAGCACGACCTTCGGGAAGGAGTTGGAAGGAGGCTAGAAAGGCAGAGTGTGAATTTCCCGGGGTACCCACAAGTCTGCAGCGCCCAGCTGGCCGGCCTCTTCGAACGCTTCAGAAGGGGCAATATGTCTTCGGATTTAGTCCTAATGTCGGTATTAGAAGAGCCCCGCACCCAGTGGTTTTTGCGAATTTTCCCGGCTGCCATACACCCGCAAATGGCCATCGTTTCGTTGGCTGGAGAGGGGAGATAATGAAGGGCAAAGGGCTCCTCTTAGTGTATGATCGAATGAGGATTTGTGAGGGGTGGTATTGTTCGAGGGGAGCCGTGTGGGAGGCATAGGAGGGGATATACTACTGGTATAGGTATCCTTGGCCTGTAGACAGAGAGGACCTGCATGTCCTACATAGTCATAGACTCAGACAGGACAATAAAATGAATTAATATGTCCATTAGCCCTTATACCAACCGGACACAACTTGTCATTTAACAACTATATGAGTACAACTCCGTTTTGCCACCGAGCTGTCCAAGAACAGTTTGTCTCATCCCCCCCCCCGCTAGCATTGTCGGGATTCTCCTAACGTACCTTCCCCACAACCAAAATAGTGCCACGGTATATTGTACGCGCACATTTCTAAAATAGAATCCGATAAGCTCGAACACTTTTCCGATTTGGGGCGGGAAAGCTCTGAAGCAAATCCAGAAAGAATAGATAACGCTACCGATGGTGTATTTAACCGCAATAAGCTCTTCTTAGATTATCTAATGTGTTCGGAATTTTCAATCGTGGAAGTTCAAGCTGCTTCTAGTAAACTATCGCAGTTGTATGTAAAGCTAAATACTCAACATTGGAAGGATTCACTGTATTCAGAAGCTCAACACGGCAGCCTACGGCGCCACATAGGGGAGTAGCTACCCGGGTTCACATAATATATTGAACATAAAGCTGAAGGACATCTGTATCTAAAGAGACGGTCTTGCTAGGAGTGTGTGTTCATTGTGCTACTTGAGTGTATGACTATCTAGTACGTAGGGCTCTTTTCTCACCCAGGCCATACCTCGTAAAGTGCCCCTATCCTCTTTTGTTACTTAAAAGATCATTGATATACTTGTTGGAAAAGGAGAAACAGAGTGTTGTGGATGCACGGGCCCTCCATTTCGTCTAGGTTCCCGACACGATCTTGTGTGTATTGAAGAGGTTGGAATAAGTAATATGGTAGCGCTTCAGGCTACCTATTGCATACATAAGCGGCTGTATGGCATGGGCACAAGGAGGTATTTGGGGGTTTTCTATACCTAGATGGCGCCATCCTCGTTTATGCTGTGGCGTGGGCTATGTGTCATTTTTTTTTCAATCAGATTTGAATTGCGTATGCAGATATCTAGCTATTACACACTTTCAAAGAAAAGTACGGAATAGATGATTCAACGTAAAGGAAGAGCAGTCATGTCTCAGATTTCAATTGCAAGTACCACTGCGAAGTTATGGTGGCTTTTTCTTCACCCCAAGTCAACCCTCATCCGTGAATACCCACCCAGGGGAACATCTCAAAAACTTTGGGTTATCTAGACATGCCTCCATCATCTTTCAACATTTCTCCGCGCGAAATATGGTCTGAGCCGTCTCCTTCGCGAG